AGGAGGCCGAGCCCGCTGAGGAAGAGCTGGTCAAGGGGGGTGCCGGGAGGAAGGGCAAGGCGACGAAGGGCGCAGTCACCTCGCGCCGCCCGCTGCGAGCGGAAGCCAGAGTGGCAGGGCGAGTGGTTTGCCAGGGGAGACGTTTGCATTCGGAGGTGCCGCGCTCTTCGTGGGCGTCTGTTTCAAGTCGCCGACGGGGTCGGCGGAAGCGCGGGCCCAGTCCGCGGGGGTAATCTCAGGGGCCGGGGGGCCGCCGATGCCGTCGCGACTCCCAGCGGGGCCATTCGGGGCCACGTTGACACTTGGGGCAGGCGAAGGCAGATGACCCAACGACGGCGTTAACATTTTTTGGGGGGGGCGGCAGCTGGGCCGGGCGCGCCGCGCGCGAGGTCGAGGGCGACGACGTGGAGATGGACAGGGCCTGCGGATTTAAGGTGTCCGATGAGATGGGCGACGGCGACCAGCGGGCGCAGAAGTGCAACTGTGTCAATGGGGAAGATGAAGTTGCGTAGTTGCGTGGGGTACGAATTGGGCTCGACCCTATTGTTTTTGATGTGGATGTAGTAGATGGGGTAGCTTTCAGGGTCAGGTTCGAATGTCAGAGATCAGAGGAGCAGTGAGGTTGTGCGGCGCAGAGCAAGAACCAGTGCATGCGCGCGTCTCGGACTTTTCGAGTCGCCAGCGTGGCAGAGAAAATGGGGATGGCGAATGCAGATGGCGCCCGATTTGGCAGTGGATTTGGGATTGGCATTATGCGCGGCGAGCACGGTGGCCCCTGGGGCTTGCCCTGGTCAAAGGCGACGCAGCAGTGTTATTGATGGCGGGCCCGCTGCGCGCGGCATTTGGTTGCGCGCGGGCTTTGGCGCTGCGGGGCTGGGGCCTGGGGGTGCGGGGGGGTGCGGGAGGTGCTCGAATGTTGAGTTCAACATATCGATGTTGGATTTGCGTGAAAACCGGCGGGGGCGTCGAGCTTGCGCGCGGCGCCCGCGCGGATAATATTGGTGCCAAGAGGGGGTGAGTTGCATGAGAGGAACATGTTGTTATGAACTTAAACGGTTTTTAAGGGGGGGGGGGGGGGATCTCGCGTCGACGAGCCCGTCTGGTTCATGACATGACCGACGGCCCCCGCGCCAGCACCGCGCCGACGCATTGATTTAACGTGGGGATGTTGGCAGACTGACATTTGCCGGTACGAGCTGTGCAGGGCGATGCTTGAAGGTCTGGGTCGACAGATGGCTGCGGATCTTCGAGTCGGCAGCTCATTGAAGACCTGCGACCCATATGTTAACATGATCGACGTCGGTGAAGAGTTGGAGGTAAACGGCGACGCGTGTTGCCATCGGGATGGCAAGGGGGACGATCGCGAATATCCCCCGACGCATCTTAAGCTTACCTGGGGCAGGAACGACTACGGCACCGCCCAGTTGATGTTGCCTGGGCGACAGGGGCCGTTGTGGAGGACCAGGAGGTTCACGAGATCGTAGGGGGAGAGGGGGCGAGGCAATTCAGGAGAGGGCCTCGGGGCGCCGTGATTGCATGTGCGCGCCGAGCTACCTGCGACGCCCGACCTCAGAAGCGGGGCTGCAATGCGCGCAGGCACTTCGGATGGCTATATCCCCTGCGGTGTGCGAGGCTGGCGGGGTCGCTGGAAATGCGGGCGCTTTTTCGGGGTGAGGATTCGTAGCGGTTTGTCGCGGAAAAGACTGCGGCTTTCGCTTGGGGTGCTGTGTCTGGAAGTGATGTCGCTTCTACACTTGCGCGATGTGGATTGACATCGACATGGGCGACGAAACTGCCCTGAGTGCCTGCCGCGGCTCGTAGCCAAACGTGCTATGTGCGCATCCAGCGAGAAGAACATTTGCCGCGACTCCGCCAAAGGAGCCCGGAGCTATGATAACCGACGGCAGTTGCAAGTGGGTTTGACACCATCAGGGAAGAGCGCGAACAAAGGTTGATTTTTCCTCCGACCTGAAAAGAATGTTCTTCACGCGCAGGCCAAGAGACGCATCTTCGCTGGGTTGCCAGAGGGGGGCCCGTCGCTGGGCACGCGTGGGATGGGTGGACCAAGGGAGAACGGATGCCGTTTGTAATTCGGGCGGTTGTGGCTCTGCATGGGACATTCGCTGAACCCGTGGGTTGACGCCGCCATGTGTGCACGCGCAAGAGCAGCCATGTGTTCGACGGTTCGCGGTGATGTTTCCTTCTTGCTAGGAAGCGATGCCGATCTTTTTTGGCCCCAGAACGGGTTCGATGCCAAGTTATGCGTTAAGATCTGGGGTGTGTGTAGGACCGGGGCCGAAGGCGTGGGCCTTCAGCCTCTGCAGACTCGTGGAATGGAGTCAGGACGGTCAGTGGTATAATGATGTCAAGGTCGTGCAGATATTTGTGTTGAACAGATGGGTTCGGCTCAGAAGTAAGCGAGGAGTGAGTTGCCGGGAGAGAGATTGCCGTGCGAGAAAGAGGATGCGGAGTTGTCGCTGTCTTGACCAGTATGGTTGCTGGCGTCCTTGCCAGGGGCGCCCGTGGAACAGACGGCGCAGGCCCATGCGGATCATGCAGGTTGCAAGAAGACTTGGAACCGACGGGTGCAGGAACAGTTCTATGGGGATTGCATGCGATAGAGTCTTGGAGCGTCAATCAGGGCGCTGTGCGTGATCTTCTGGAGAGGCAGAATATTTCGGGATGGTCCAAGGCGGTCACCAGGATTTGGAAACCAGGCAGCTTTGACATACTTTTGGGTGGGGTGCGGTTGTGTTTTTATATTCTATAGAATTACGCAAGTGCTGCGATTGCTATGACCCGTCGGAGGGGCGAGGCAAAGTGAGACACACTGAAGATGGCCAGCCACGGAAGGAGGCCAAGAGGAGTTATTGTACCAAAGTGGGGATTGGCGTAACTGGCGGATGCAAGGAACAACTATGCGAATGGAAATGGCATGTTAACACGCGCGCGGTCCACCAGCCAACTCATTGCTCCAAGCGGACACGAATTGGTTCCGGCCGCTCGGTGTTAGCGCGAGGTCCTACCGTACGGGTAACCGTGGACCAGTTGCGGAGCCTTGTCAGGATCCGTTGAGATCCACGTGCTCGTCGTGCCGCATTCATTGTAGCTCATATTGTAGTGGCCAGTTTCGGTTGTGCGCTTAGGTTTGTGGTATGCATCATTAGTTCGATAGCATCTGTGCGCGCGGCAGTTGTAGCAAGTAAAACTTGTGCTGCGATCCCGCCATACTGCACAGTTTTTCTGCGTTGCCAGCACTTGTTCTTGCGCTTCGTCGGTTTCTGTATCCTTGTGTATGTGCGTGTAGCTTCAGATAGTTGCTCCCGGCGTGTTTTACGTTCCGATCTGGCCGAAGGGGGTGTGCTAACATATGTACCTTCTGGTTGGAGGAAGGGCTAGCGCTTGTTCATCGGATCCGAATGGTTGACACAAGCGTGTTGCAACATCGTATCATCGGTGTAGTGCCTTATGATTGTGGTGATGATGGTGATGCGAGGAGGAGAAGGAGGGGGAGGAGGAGGAGGAGGAGGAGGAGGAGGAGGAGGAGGAGGAGGAGGATGAGGAGGAGGAGGAGGAGGAGGAGAGAGGAGGAGGAGGAGGAGGAGGAGGGAGGAAGAGAAGGAGGAGGAGGAACAGGACGAGAAGGAGGAAAAGGAGGAGGAGGGGAAGGAGGAGGAGGATGAGGAGGGAGACGGGGAGGGGTAGGAAGAGGAATAGTTGGACGGCGATGGAGGACGGGGGAAAAAGAGGAGGATGGTGACGGCGAGGGGCGGGAAGGGGAAGAGGATGAAAAGGGGTGCGGAAGGGGGAGGAAACACGTGGGAAGTTGGAGGAAGAGGCGGTGTGCAAGTCGACGTCGAGGGGGGGCGGGGGAACGGGAGGCGGGGGTGGAGGGAGAGGGGAGGAGGAGGGGGGGGGGGTGAGGAGGAACGGAAGGAGGACGTGGACTGAAGGTAGAGGGGGAGAAGGAGGAGGATCCTGCGTCCCGACGGATTTTCCGTTGCAGCCGCTGGCGTCGCCCGTCGTTCGCCGCCGCCGTCGAGCTCGTCGTCGTCGTCAACGCCGCCGCCGCCGCTCGTCGTCGCTCGTCGTCGCTCGTCGTCGTCGTCGTCGTCGTCGTCGTCGTCATTGCCACCGTTGTCGTCGGCGTCGTGGTCGTCGTCGGCGTCGTCGTCCTCGTCGGTGTCGTCGTCGCCAACGTCGTCGTCGTCGTCGCCAACGTATACGTCGTCTTTGTCGTCGTTGTCGTTGGGGATTGTTCTCGTCGTTGGCGCTCGTCGTCGTCGTCGTCGCCATCGTCGCCGCTTGTCGTCGTCGGCGTCGTCGTCGTCATCGCCGTAGTCGTCGTCGTCGTCGTCGTCGTCGTCGTCGTCGTCGTCGTCGTCGTCGTCGTCGTCACCAATGTCGTTGTTGTCGTCGTCGTCGTTCTCCCTTTCGTCGTCGTTTTCGTAGTCGACGTCGTTGCCTGTCGTCGTCGTTCTTGTCGCTGGTTGTCGTCGTCCTCGTCGTTGCTTTCGTCGTCGCGAACGTCGTCGTCGTCGTCGTCGTCGTCGTCGTGGTCGTCGTCGCCGTTGTCGTTGTCGTCGCCGCCGCCGCCACCGCCGCCGCTCGTCGTCCTCTTTGTCGTCGTCGTCGTCGTCGTCGTCGTGTCGTCTTCGTAGCTATCGTCGTCGACGTCGTCGTCGTCGCCGCTCGTCGTCGTCGTCGTCGTCGTCATTGCTGCCGCTCGTTTTCGTTTTCGTTTTCGTTTTCGTTTTCGTTTTCGTCGCCGTCGCCGTTGCCGTCGCCGTCGCCGTCGCTGTCGCGATCGCCGTCGCCGTCGCCGTCGCTGTCGCGATCGCCGTCGCCGTCGCCATCCCCGCCGCTCATCGTCGTCGTCGTCGTCGTCGTCGTCGTCGTCGTCCGTCGCCGCCAGCCGCACGCTACCGCACGCCGCCGTTCGCCGCACGCCGCCGCTCGTCGCCTTCGTCGCGGGGCCGCCCCCCGCGCACAAACGGCAGGCTCTCCACGGGCAGCGGGGGTTCGTCTGGTTCTGCGGCGGCGGGGCGCGAGGTCCCGCCGGCCTCTTCCGCTCTCCTGCCGCTGCTGCTCCTACCACGGCTCCTACTCCTGCCGCCCGTCCTGCTTCTCTCTGTCTTGCTCTGTAGGGGCTTGTCCCTTCTCTCAATTGGGCGTGCCTCCCGCCGCCCGACCTGAACGGACTACGGACATGGATGCGTGTGCGCTGCGGTGAAAAGAAGGAAGGACAATCAAGCACTTTCCCTTTTGCTCCAAGTTCCCTCCCACGACGCTGAATTCAGCAGGGCGCCCCCCTCGCCCACGCGGCGGCCGTTCAGTTTTCCCTTGTGCCCTCCGCAAGCAACCCACGGTCAGTCCTGAGACGCGGCCGATGCGTCCATGCTGGTTCGCATATGTTTCGCTTAGTCAGTACCCGCAGCTGTGGGAGCCTCCGAGCGCTCTGTTTCTGCTGTTGCTCTGCTGCTCCTCCCCCGCGGCTCGGGGGAAGAGGCTTCAGCCCTCGATCGCCCATGCGTTACCGGTGTTGTCAAGACGCTGCAACAGGGGCCCCTCCGGGAGTCGGGACAGGGGGTTTGGTTTTCGGGCCGCGTGTCGTCTCTAGTTTTCATATTTTGGTCGGAAAGCCCAGTTGTGCCGAAACTCGCCGTGGCCACGAGAGCGCAGCCGCTCCTCATTCCGCATTCCTAATGGCAGAGCGATGGTTGCATGTTTCCGGTGACCCACCCCTGACCAAGAACGCGGAGCTTCGCTATCGGGGGCCAATGGTCGATCTATCTGCGATGAATTGCCGATTCGCAACCAGTGTTTCCCTGTCCCGCCCATCCCCTGCGCGCATTCGTCGAAAATGAACCAACGACAAATACATGCACTTTCGGTGGTCAGCGCCGGCCCCTTGGATCAGCAATGGGTGTAATCTTGGTCACTCATCTTTGCACTGCTGCAGTCGGTTCGCTTCGGTTGGCCGTTGCGCTTCCGCCCGCGTCCCTCCCGCATTGCTCCTGGGCTGTCCGTCTCGGTCGGTTTCGTGCTCGCTCTCGTTACGGTCGGTTTCCCATTGTGGTGTCGCCGTGGAGATCTGTGCTCGATGAGGGCCGAGGTGCAGCGAGCAACACCGAAGAGCGAAGAGGAGGGCCGAGAACGCCGTGACATGCTTTCGGAGGTGTCTGGACTTTGGGGGGGGACGCCTCTGGACACCACCTTCGGGTGTGGCCGTCGTCATCGCCCCCGTTTTCGCGCCCGTGCCGCTCTCGCCCTCGGCTCCGTCCTCGTCTTCATTTTCGCCCTCGACCTCCTCCTTGTCCTCCTCCTCCTCTTCCTCCTCCTCCTCGTCTCCGTTCTCCTCCTCTTCTTCCTCCTCCTCCTCCTCCTCCTCCTCCTCCTCCTCCCCGTCCTCTTCGCCCTCGTTCTCGTTCATGTTTCCTTCGTTCCTGCCCCCCGTTCCTCCCTGTGGGTCCTGGTCTCTGTCGTCGTGTGCTTCCTCTCCCGCCCGCTCCTGCTGCCTCCCCTGCTCTTGCCCCTGCTCGTCGTCGTGGTCGTCATCGTCGTGGTCGTCGTCGTCGTCGCCGGTCGTCCTCGTGCTCGTCCTCGTCTTCGTCCCCGTCCTCCGCCTCGTGCTGCTGCCGCCTGTCCCCTCTCCGACCTCCTTAATTTCCCAAGAGTGAGTTGAACTCGTGCCCGGGTTTCAGCATACTTTAATGTCTGGCCCGCCCGACCCGACCCGCCCGTTAGGGTACACGCGCGCCAAGTCGATGATGCATCGTACTTTAATGTCCCGCCCGCCCGACCCGACCCGCCCTGTGGGGTACACGCGTGCCAAGTCGATGATTCATCATGGTTCAGTGTCCCGCCCGCCCGACCCGACCCGCCCGTTCAGGTAAACCCGCCCGATTCGACCAGCCCGCCCGACTCGACCACCCGCCCGATTTGGCCCGCCGGCCCGACCCGACCTGCCCGTGTACACACGTGCCAACCCGATTATGCACCATACCTTGTTGCCCCACCTACCCGACCCGACCGTCCCGTTAGGGTAGGGGCGAATCGTCTCGATTATGTATCATATTCAAATGCCCCGCGCCGCCCGCCCAACCCGACCCGCCCGTGGGTGTACGCGTGTGCCAATTCGATGGCACATCATAGTTCGAGGTCCCGCCCGCCCGACCCGACCCGCCCGTGAAGGTCCGTCCGCCATGCCCAACCCGCCCGCCCGACCCGGCCCGCCCGTTCGGGCACGTGCGTGCCAAGCCGATGACTCATCACATTTCTCGCCCGCCCGGCCCGACCCGCCCGTCAGGGTCCGCCCGACCCAAGCCGAACCGCAGTACGCGCCCGTCAGGGTACCCGCGAGCCAAGCTGATGCAGGTATGATTCCATGCCGCTGGCTGCGGCGCCGATCACGTGGTTGATGAAGATGATGCGCTTGAGCCGCCAGGAGACTTTGCGGTGCCAGAACTTGCCCATGATGTACCAGGCCCGCTTGATGCTCTGGATGCGCTGGTCGATCTCGATGGTGTTGCTGCCGCCGTGGTGGAAGTGGCCGCCGAGGTACTTGAGGGTTCGGAGAACTCGTCCTTGTACTTGTTCGGCTAGTGCTCGGTTTTCGCGCCTGGTTCGCAGCCCTCCGACGATCTCCTTCTTGTCCCTGTTCTGGTGGAACCCGTACTCGGCCAGACATTTGTCGAGGATGGCGTTGCTGTTGGCGAGGATGCGGGCTGCGTCGCGCGCGTGGCCAGTGGGGGCGAGGTAGAGCTTGAAGATGTCATCCACGTACAGGTAGATGGAGAGGTCCAGCAGGGCGTGCGTGATCGGCGAGACTGCCGCGAAGGGGGACGAGTCCTGCGGGGTGTCCTCAAGCCACTGTCCCACGGGTTGTTCGTAGACGAAGTTAAATGTGGTGGGTTCCGTACTGCAGCCAGGCATTATCCCAGAGCCGAGGCTGTAGTCACCTGTGGAGTCGAACCCGTCGATCTGGACGCTGGCGCATTGGAACCTCTGGAGGAAGGGGCGCTGCTCTGTTACGCTGATATTGGTCGGGGTAGTGCTGGCGGCCTTGCCGACGTTGGTGCTGGCAAACGCATTGGTGGCGTCGTTGCTGCCCGCGATGAAGTCGGCTTTGGCCCGCTGGAGTCGGTAAGCGACAATGCGTGTGGCCGCCATGGGTGCTTCGCGCCGTCGGTGTGGCCAGTATCCGTGTGCATGTGGCGGTGGGGACCATGGCTTCGACTTACACTGGAGGTGTCGGTAAAGGCAGCGCCAGAAGGGGCAGAGCATGTGAAGGATGCGCAAGCCGGGCGTCTTGGTCTTGCCGTTCTGCTTGTCAAGGAAGAAGCTCTGGCTGCGGTGGGCGTCGAGAGGTGCAAAGCCGACTCGGTACACTTGTTTGATGACTGACTCGAAGCATTCCTGCGTGAGGGGTGCCTCGGCGAGCTCGTCGTCGAAGCCCACGCCTGTCGTCTTTGACTTCTGCTTGGTGATGTTGGTGGGCGCTAGGATCATCTGGAAGATCTCTGCGGGCAGTGACCACTCGGGCACGGAGGCGCGTTTCTTGAAGTACTTGAGCCGTTTGGCTACGCCGTAGAGGGTGCGCTTGACATTGGCCCTGGCGTCCTCATACTCCTGTCGGATCTGCTGGTTGTGCGCGATGGTGAAGTCGTAGGTGCTCTCCTTCAGAATGCGCTTCTCCTCGCTGAGGTTGATTGGCTGTGCTTGAAGCCCTCCGTGCTGCCCGTCTTGTGCGATGTGGTCTGCCCATTCTTGTAGGCTGGGTCGTGCTCTGGTGGCGCGGCTGTAGTTGCGATTGCGCTTGCCGAAGTTGGTGCTTGCGAGGAGTCTTGACAGTCTATGTACTTCTGCGTGTTCACGTCGTTGCCAAGCCTCGTATATGAGCTCCTCGAGCTCGCGGCGCCGTTCGGCCTCGTGGAGTCGCTTCTGCTTCTTGAGGGCGCGCGCGAGAGCTTCGATCTGGAACTCTTTGTCGAAGTCGGGGGAGGAGCCGATGTAGTCCTCCCTGGCTTTGGCGCGTTCTTGTAGGAATCGAAGCCGCTCCTCCATGAGCTCTTGATAGTTGTTGGACTTGCGCTGTTGGCGCTCGAAGAAGGGCTTGGCTGTCTCCTGCAGAATGCGAATGATGAGCTCCCAATGCTCGTCCGAGGTGTTGGCGCTGGCGAGGTCCCGCAGCTGCTCCTGGTGCTGGCCGAAATTCGTCTTTAGCGCATTAATGAATTCCTTGCGATGTTTGCCCGTCTGCAGTGCCTGCGCCATCTTGTCGTAGTCCCAGGAGGTCCTCTTCGGGTCGGTGAACGCGTTCGGGATGATGATGATGTCGGCAGCTGCGATGAGCGGGACGTGATCGCGTGGGAGGTGGTCGTTGATGAGCTGCAGTGTTTTAGCTGCTCGCCACCAGACTCGGCAATATATGATGTGGACCCGTAGTCCTTGTGACACTGCGATGTAATCTGGCCTTGTGACTTGTCCTTGTGCTCCGAAGTACGTAGGGCCTGCTTCCCAGAACGTGTCCAGTATGCACATGCCGTGGACGTCGAGCATGTGGTGGAATGCTGCTGCAGCTTCTCCTGGGATGCCTGTGGGGCCCGCGTCGCCGATCACGTTGATGGGCGTGGCAGGGATCATTCCGTCCTGGCCGTAGTGGTCGTTCAGGTCGAGGCCGATGATGGGCGTGCTTCTCGTGGGTATCGCCGAGAGCGTCTAGTTGATCCACTTGAGCGTCCCGTTGACTGTCTTGACCCACGCGTTGTGCTGCTTGGCCAGGCCCGACGGCGGCGGCAGGTACGCTACTATGAATGTCATGTCGAGTGCTCCGCGTCGTATGCGTAGTGCGCCTGCGCGGCCTTGTATGCTCGCTGGGGGGCTGGGCAGCTCTGTGATGCACTTGGGTCGGAACCTGTTGCTGACCATGATGGCGACCCCCGCATGGCTGTTGGTGAGTGGGCCTCGGCAGTACCCCCAGGTGTATATGCGGTGTTTGTACGTCTGGAGCTGGTCGACGGCGCTGGCGGGGTCGTGCTGCCGCCATCTTGTCGCAGGTCGCATGACGACGTCCACCGCGCTGAGCTGGCGCGAAATCTCCATGCTTCTCAGGGGCGCCACCATGCTGAGGGGATTGTACACGGCCCCGGCCCATCGCATGAAAGTCATCCAGAAGATCACGAGAGAGGAAGTATGGATGGCCAGCCGCGCTGGCATGACATGAAGGTGCCCTGAGGGCGGAAGCTGCTCTGCGTGGAGTGCCTGCCTGGCCGCGAAGGGTGTGGCTGGAGCAGGACACGGCGGCTGAGGAGGAGGAGGAGGAGGAGGAGGAGGAGGAGGGGGAGGAGGAGGAGGAGGAGGAGGAGAGGAGGAGGAGGAGGAGGAGAGGAGGAGGAGGAGGAGGATGGAGGATGGAGGATGGAGGATGGAGGATGGATGGAGGATGGAGGATGGGAGGATGGAGGATGGAGGATGGAGGATGGAGGATGGAGGATGGAGGAGGAGGAGGAGGAGGAGGAGGAGGAGGAGGAGGAGGATGAGGATGAGGAGGAGGAGGAGGGAGGCCCCCTCCTCTTCAATCCCGAGGAGGAGCAAACAAGAGGAGGGAAGGGGATGGAAAAGGAGACAGCACGACTCTCTTTAGACCTCCCCTTGTCCTCTGCGTGGTCTACTGGGAGGCCTGCCCTGGTCCTCCTGGAGGTCTCCGAGGAGGCCTCCTCTGGTCCTTCCAGAGGTCTTCCAGGAAACTTCCACTTGTCCTCCCAGAGGTCTCCCAGGAGACCTCTGGGACCACGACCGCCCCCTCCCCCGTCCACGACGACGACCTCCTCCGTCCGCCCCCTCGTTCCTGCTTGCTCTGCGCTGCCTCTGCCGCTCCCCTCCCTCCTCCTGTCCTGTTCGGCGTTTGTTCGCAATGCTTTTTCTTCTTGCCCCTCCTCCTCCTCCTCCTCCTCCGCCTCTTCCCTCTTCTCTTCCGTGTCTCCTTGAGCTTTGGCGCTGACTCTCGGCTAGTTGGTAGGGTCGGCCTGCTCGGCCTTCGTCGCCGTCGGCGAGATGAGCTGTGCGGAGACCTCCCTGGTCCTCCCGGATGTCGCTCAGGAGACCACTTCGGAGGGGGGGGCTCCCAGAGCTCTCCCCATGGGTCCTCGGTCTCAGAAGATCTGGTGGAGGGCCAGGGGGGACCTTTGGGAGGCCCCCCTTCGTCCTCCACCAGACCTCTGCCGTTCAAGAGACCTTCTGTGTTGATCTTGATTCTGAGACATCTGAGAGACCTCCGAAAGGACCAGAGTAGGCCTCCTCGGAGACCCCCGGAAGGATCAGCAGAGGTTTCCCGGATGTTTTCCCAGCTCCCCTGGGAGGTGTCGGAGGGCCCGGTGGAGGACCAGGGGAGGTTTGTGGGAGGCCTCCTATCCCTAGGCGGAGGGTATCTTCGGGAGGTCTGGTGGAGGACCCGGGGAGGTCTCGGAAAGGCTTCATTTCCCTGGGAGAAGGCCTTCTGAGAAATGTGGTGGACAAGGTAATTTGCTCGCTACCCTTACGTATCTTTCTGGTCGAGGGTTGCTCGTGGATCAGTTGCCGCCTCTCTGCGTTGCCCTCCCCATGTCCCCCTCCTCCTCGCCCTCTTCCCCTTCTCCTCCTCCTCCTCCCCTCCTTCTCCTCCTCCTCCTCCTCCTCCTCCTCCTCCTCCTCCTCCTACGGGACAGCGTCCCGAGAGAAATCCTCCTCCTCCTTCTCCTCCTCCTCCTCCTCCTCCTCCTCTTTCTTCTTCTCGAGGGCTTCGACGTCGTGGTCGATGTGATTCTGGGGGGGGTGCCCAGTGGTACTCTTCATCTGGGTGGGGGGGGGGTGTTTGCGAGGTGTACTTTATTGGAGGGGCTTCGAGTGGCACCAGTCACTGGCGTGTGGTTCGGCGTGCTCCTGGTGATCTACGCGTGCTTCGGGGTGAGTTCGTCGGAGGTCTTCTTCGTGGGGAGTGTCGAATCGGCGGGATTGGAGTGCGCCGTGTGGCTCGGTCGCCTATGGGCGGAAGCGGGATGCTGCTGACTATCTGCGCCGACTATTGCGTCTGCATGGTGTGGGGCTCCAAGGGGCCGGGTTGTTCGTGGGGAGTGTTTTGCTTCTCCAGTTTCTCGGACCTTCCCTGGGCTCGATCTTCCCTGCGTGCGGGTATTGGGGGGGGGCGGGAACTAAGACTTCGGCTCGGCCCTCGTGCACTCTGGTGCCGTGGAGGGTCCGCCCATTTTTTTCGCGGGAAACGACGGAGCATTACCCATTCGCTGCTACAGCCTCCCCCTCCCCCTCCCCCTCCTCCCCCTCCTCCTCCTCCTCCTCCTCCTCCTCCTCCTCCTCCTCCTCCTCCTCTTCCTCCTCCTCCCCCCCCTCATTTTTGAGGCTCGAGGGAATCGATGGGCCGATTTTGCTGCCGTCCAAGGCAAGGACCTCCACGCGGCTCTGCAGGCCCAGGTGAAGGCCGTGAAAGCTCGTTTCAGTGCCGTCAAGGAAACACTTGTTTGGATGGTCAAGGCATACACACACATATATATATATATATATGTATGTATATGTATATGTATATACATATATACATGTATATATATATATATGGAACGGACCGCCCCCCATGGCCAGAAACGTTTTGACGACCGTCGTCGCCGTCGGTAGTCGTAGGCGGTGGGGAGTGCTTGTCAAGTTAAAAACTATTTGCGTAATCTGTATGCTGTGCGTGGGGGTTGGAGGTGTTTCGCTTGTGGCCGCAGCACTCGCTCCGAGGCCAAACGCAAGATGCTGGTGCGCCGAGTTTGTCCTGCTAAGCTCGCTGCTCACGATAGATTGGGCGGGGGGGAGGACTCGCGGGAAGGAGTTGAGGACAGGATCCGAGCGCGCTCGAGGTCACCCGAAGGGTATCCAGAGCCGCCTCGGAGCCGGGCGCGGGAAGAGCCCCCTTCCGCGCATTCGCCATGCTCGCCTCGCCTCTGACGTTTTTCCGTCCGAAGGTGAGAGGAGGGTGCGTTTCCGAAGCGACGTCGACGCTGCCGCCTTTGCTGCTGCCGATCGAATTCGCCCTCGCTCCTCCGACGAGCCTAAGCCACCGTGCAAGGCTCGCCGTGTGGCCCCCCGTGGGGGCTCGACTGCGCCGAGTGCGCGCGCCGTGGCCGAGTTGCCCGAGCAAGGTGATCTTCCTCCTTGTGCGGCCATGGGGCACGAACTCTTCGTGGCCCCAGGCAAGGTTGTCATTTGTCCGGTGTGTGGAGGGATTTCTACGGGGAGAGCGTCCTCCCTTTTGGACCCTTGCCCCCCACCCCCAGTATCCAAGCGGGGTCACTCCAACACCCATATGTTCAACACTAATAGGCATCCTGCCGATCTGCATCGATTTGAGAGTATCTGGGGGCAGAGACGTTTGCAGGTTGCCGACCCAGAGGTCACCTGGCTTCGCCTAGACGCCTAATACTTATTGATAAGTTCGCGAATTATTCACAAGTCTGAGCTCTTCACTTTCACTGACTTGTAATGCTCAGCTGCGCTGTGGCGCCTATTGCCGCGATCCCCTGGGTGGGCATCGAGTGGTGCCGTGAGCAGCGCTCGGCCCGCTGCCAAGGCAATGGGCCCGTTTGAAAGTGGCCGTTTGTGCTCTGCGCGACGGATCCCTTCTATGCTGCGTACCCGTACCTCCTCCCCCTCCTCCTCCCCCTCCTCCTCCTCCTCCTCCTCCTCCTCCTCCTCCTCCTCCTCCTCCCTCCTCCTCCTCCTCCTCCTCCTCCTCCTCCTCCTCCTCCTCCTCCTCCTCCTCCTCTCCCTCCCCCTCCTCATCCTCCTCCTCTGCCTCCTCTTCCTCGTCGTCGTCCTCCTCCTGATTCTCCTCCTCCTCCTCCTCCTACTCCTCCTCCTCCTTCTCCTCCTCCTTCTCTCCTCCGCGGCCTTCTCCCCCCCCTCGCCGCCAGGGCGGCTGCCGGGTGCCGCGCGAGGCGCGGACGGCGTGGGCGTGGGAGGCTCCGCGCGCCGGGCTCGTCGTCGTCGTCGTCGTTCGTCGTCGTCGTCGTCGTCGTCGCATGTGGTGTTGGTCGTCGTCGTCGTCGTCGGATTTGTCGTCGTCGTTGGCGTCGTCCTGATCCTCACCCTCCTCTCCCGTTGTCGGCACGCCCTCGGGTGCTCCGGATTTATCCTACCCGGAGGCATGCGGATGCATTCGAGGGTAGACCAAGAGGGATGTTGGGGTAGGGGGCGAACCTTTCACTTTTGCTGTCGTCATCCGTATCCAGTGGCCGCAGACTTTTCTAGCAATGGTGTGAGGGGGGGAGGAGGAGGAGGAGGGCGAGGAGGAGGAGGAAGATGACGATGATGAGTTGGATGAGGAGGAGGACGAGGAGGAGGAGGACGGCCGCTGAGATCCTTGATGCCGATGTTCGTCGAATGTTCAAAGAGGAGGAGGAGGAGGAGGAGGAGGAGGAGGAGGAGGAGGAGGAGGAGGAGGACCAAGGTAAACCCAGAATGGCAGCGATGCTGTGATACACCCTCCCGTTCACAGCCTCCTTCTCATGAGTTCCTACAAGTATTCGTTCCACTGCGGGAAGCCCCCCTTAGAATGACGAGCGGCCGGCGGGCGTGCCATTCAGGCAAGGCCCAGGTTTTCTCCCAATAGCTTTGCCCACAGGACTACTTGCTCAATGCATCGAGAACTGGTCCACCAGGCCCCCCCGATATCGTGCGACAAACTATGGCAAAGGCTTCCTCTGCTATTGCGATGGCTTCCTCTGGTATTGCAATGGCTTCTTCCGCTTGCGATGCCATTGGCTTCCAGCAGAGTGGAGTAGCTACTACTAGAAGAGTAGCGTAGGGCATACTAGAGTCCATTCGAGTGGAGTCGAGCAGAGGAGAATCGAGTAGATGAGATGATAGTAGAGTATGAGTAGAGTAACACAGAGTAGGTTACAGCAGGGTCTAGAGTGGAGAGGGGAGAGTTGGGCATCTTAGGGTAGATCAGAGTAGCGTAGACTAGGGTAGATGGTATAGTAGAGTCGGGTAGACAGAGCATAGTAGAGTAGAGTAGAGTCGAGTCGAGTCGTGTAGAGTAGGGTAGGGCCGACTAGAGCAGAGTAGAGTAGGTGAGGGCATGGATGGGGTAGAGCAGAGTAGGGCAGAGTATTGCACTGTAGAGTAGGGTAGAGATGATAGAGTATGTTCGGGTATGAGAGAGTAAATCAGAATCGAGTTTTCTATGGTATAACAGAAAAGAGTAGATTCGAGTAGGGTATAGTAGAGTAGAGTTGAGCCGAGTAGAGTAGAGTAGAGTAGGTCAGGGTAGGGTAGGGCAGGGTAGAGTAGAGCAGGGCAGAACAAGCCAGAGTAGAGTGGGGTAGAGATAGTAGTGTGACATGGGCGATGGTAAAGTGTAGCAACGCAGAGTAGAGTGAAACAGATGAGAGTCGAGCAGAGGAGAGTAGAGTCCGATTAGAACAGGGTAGGGTAGGGTCTAGTAGAGTAGAGTAGAGTGGAGCAGGCGAGAGTAGGTTAGGGTAGGGTAGGATAGAGTAGATCAGACTAGGGTAGAGTAGAGTCGGGTAGATCGTAGTGTAGAGCCGGGTATGCCGGAGTAGTGTAGAGCAGAGTCGAGTAGAGTTGAGTAGAGACTACCTCAGTCCAGTCCAGTCTACTCCAGTCCATTCTAGTTCAGTCTACTCCAGTCGATTTCGTTACAGTCTTTCGGTCTTTTGGGGTCTGCGCTGGCTGATCTTTTGAGGATTCGCCTTTCCTCCTTCTGACTGGACGAGGCGCGGAGAGGCATGACGATGACGTCCAGTGACGTGTCCAGCGACGTGCCCGTCTCGACGAGGATCGGTCTTCCCTCCGCGCAGGTGCCGCACGGTGTTTAATGTTCTGGCCGTGCACATTGTGGAAGTCTGCGAGAGGCCCGTTTTGACAAGGAGTCGCCTTCATTCGGGGAACGCAAGACCCGAGTAAGTCGGAACTCGGGTTTGCCGACGTTTTTTGACGAGCGCGTCCTGAATATAGACGGTCCAATTTTCGTGGGATGTCTGCAGCGGGAGGTCGCGTCAAATTTCAGATTGGGCCTCGTCATTTTTATGATGGCCCCGTCGGGCCAACCCGAGTCCCCCGCACCCCAGTCTTACGTCTCCCCGATTCATGCGTTCTAGTTATCGCGCGCATTGGATTTCGGCTCATCAACTCGAGGCAGCATCAAGCGCTAGCCACACTGGGGAAACGGCCAGCCCTCCATCCTTCTGGCTGTTGTGAGTTTTTTATCACGACTGTGCGCGGTGCTGGGGCGGGAGCCGCATGTTGAAAGGAGGAGGAGGAGGAGGAGGAGGAGGCGGAGGAGGACGAGGAGGAGGAGGAGGAGGAAGTATATGAAAAGTAGGAAAAGGAGGAGGAGGAGGAGGAGGAGGAGGAGGAGGAGGAGGAGGAGGAGGAGCAGGCGCAGGAGGAGGAGGAGGAGGAGGGGGAGGAGGAGGACTGACCCTCTCCATCCTATCTCATATTTTCTGGAGTCCCGGTTTCGGGGGCCTCGGGGCCGCGGCACACCAGGGCACCTGATGTGAGCCAAGCGGCGCGCTTCCCGCCCCCAGGGCCTCCCCAGAGCGTCCCCGGGTGGGAAGGCCCTCGGTCCAGCTCTTAGAGGTTCCCGAGAGGGCCCCGAGACGGTCCAGGGTGGTCCCAAGACGGCGCCTCAAGATATCCCAATAGGCTCCCAAGACGGCCCAGGGCAATGATGATTTTTTGGCCGGCGCAATTGCAAACGATTCGCGCAGACTCAGTTCTTCTCTGTTACAGGTCCGCAATATTGCCCCGACACGGCCCCAAACGGCCCAAGAGGCCCCAAGTTGGTCCAAGATGGCTCCAAGACGGCATATGAGACCCCCCAGGAGGGCTCAAGGTATTCCAAGAGGACCTCAAGAGGGGCCCGAGAGGAGTAAACCGACGGGGCCTTGGTAGCTCTTCCCCCTAATGATTGCCCCCAAGACCCCCAACTGGCTCCCAACATGCCCCCAACCGGCTCCAACATATCTTTCTCCCAAGAGGTCCCAAGAAGCCACCAGGGGGCCCCAAGAGGCCGCCAAAATACTCCAAGAGCTGTTCGGCTCCCCGAGAGACCCGAAGAGACATCCAGGATGCCTCTCGTCCGCAACCCTGGCCCGGTGGCTGGATGGGTCCGATGCGGTTTTCCGCCGCCCCAAGACGCAACCAAGACGGCCCAGAGGAACCTGAAATGGCTGAGACGGCCCCATGACCCCCGAAGAGCCCCCCAAGACAGCTCGAACATTGCCTCAAGCGACCCCCACGACAGCCAAGGACCCTCCAGACAGTTCGGAAACGGCATCACAAGACACCCAAGACGGCTCTTCCAGCATGCGCCCAAGAGCTTCCAACACGGCCCAAAGATGGCTGGAGGCGGAGAGGGAGGCGGAACACCGACTCTCCGTCGGGAGATGACTTGGGAGATGCGGTACCGGTACCCTTTATACGCCCCCTCCAGAAACGCGCACTCGATCGCCTGGGCAGCGAACCCGTTGGCTTCGAAATCTGCGGTTCCCGTTTCTCTGGTCGCGGTCCGTTTTGTGTGGTATACGTGAGGCTCAGCATTGAACTGCGTGCATAGCTTGAGCGCACGCGCGTAACGCGAGATTTTGTTTAATTGTACTGGTTTGGAACTGTTTAAGGAGTGTGCGCGGCGCCTAGGCGAGAGCCGCATTTCGAAAACGACCAGCACTCTATCCTCTTGTCTGTTGGGAGCGTTGAAAACGAATACTCGCGGCGCTAAGGTGAAAGCCGCACCTGAAAACGAACAGCTCCCCACCCTTGTAACCTGTAGGAGTTCGTTTAGCTTCAGTGTAGTAAGTTGCAAGAACGGCTCAAACGAAACGCCTGGCCCAGCCCGCGGACATGTCGGGTGGTGCGACAGGGGGGAGGATGGAGCGGGAGCAGGAGGAGGAGGAAGTTGAAGAGGAAGAAGGAGAGGGGAGAAGATGGTAGGATGAGCGACGGAAGATGGAGGCTCAACGGGAGGAGACGGAGGATTAGGAGGAGGAGGAGTTGGAGGATCAGAAGGGGGAGAAGGACCCAGACCTCCGACGTCGCAACGTTTGGTGTCACGGGTCCCAAGAGTTCTCGACACCGTCCACAGGAATTCTAGAGCTTTGATGGTCTCAAGGCTCAAGCCGCGTCTCTACAAATCCAACGTCTCGTCTCATGACGTTTTTTTTAGAATTTCCTCCCATTCCAGCCCATTCCATTCTATGTTCTTCCCCCCTTCCTTCTGCCTCCTCCTCCTCCTCCTCCCTCCTGTCTGCTCTCCACCTCCCAGCAGCTGGGTGACGTCATCATTGCCACTTGCGATCTCCTGGTTCAGAGTGGCTTGCAGGTGTCCCGCCAAGAGCGTCATCCCGTGCTCCGCCCACGTCGACGCCAAGGCCATCGCGGCCAGGGTGCGACGTCCTGGACACATCGTGCAGGCGGTGCCTCAGGCAGCGGCTGCAGGGCGTCGGGCAGGCCAGGCCACTCGACGCTCGAGGGTGGTGAAAACGGGGTGCTCTCACCGTCGAATTCGAGGGTTTGTCGAGGCGTCCAAGCGGTACGCCATGTGCTTGAAGCTGGAGCGGATGTCGCGCCAGGCGGGCGCCAACTACGGCCGCCAAGTACATGGGGCGACGTGCAGGCGGCGCTGTCAGGGCCGACCCATGTGGGGAAGTGCCTTACATCCAGCTACATCTCCGAGTTAGGGACGGCGGCCCCACGAGGAAGCTGCCACGCGAGTTGCTGCAAAGATGGTCCACCGTGTGGCACGCCGACGCTGGTCGACGACGGCGGACTGCTCAAGTCTGGTCTAGGGTTCTACCTGATTCGAGGCGATGGCGACGACGGCGTGGTGGCGGCTTCCAAGGTCCTCCTCCGGCGCGATGGAAGCTGGGCCCAGGCTGCGTGCGCGGAGACGGCGGCAGCGGCAGGTGCCCCCAGCTGCTGGGAGTCGCGGCCA